TCATTATTGTTTTAGCTGGCCTGGGCTGGGTTCGAACCCACCAGCTTCAGCGTATGTGACTGGCGCTGTAACCACTATGCTGCAGGCACAGAGCCATCACATGGATTTTTAACAAGTTCTCTAGGTAGTTCTGGTATAAGCAAAGTTTGAGCATCACTTCCATATCCTAGCCCTATTACCAACTGCCATCACTCGCATAAAATGAAGCATTATTTTACATAGTTACACTTAGATTAACAACCATGAGAGGATTCTCCAATTTGCAGGAAGGAAGGAGGAGGCTACCAATTTGGCTATTTTTATCAACAGTCTTTAAATTCCTAATCTGTCTTTAACTCCCTCTTCTATAATGAGCAAATCACTTAATATATCTGCTTACACCATCCCAGTCCTATAAAGTAACAAAGCACTTATGCCCTATTGTCCTTTTTAGCACTAACTTCCCAGGTTTTGCTTTTCATACCCATATCAGTCCATATCCAAGTAATCATTAGAATAGCAGGAGGATTAAGGAAAGGCTAGCTGTCCAAATAGGCTAGACTAGAAAAAAATAAGTGTTAATTCTCAGGCAAATATGAGAAAGACCAAGAAGTATTACTAGAGGGACAAAAGAGTCTCTGCACAAATTTAGGTTTTCTACTTACATAAGTTCTCTGCAAGTTCACAGAGAACAGGAAAAACCAGAGGAGTAATCAGTGAAATACCTAGAAACCCTCCCAGGGAGGTTAACATTGATTTCCTGCTCTGCCAGTAGGAAATCATCACAATGAGCTTTAGATGACTTAAGCTACTTAAATCGTTTGCATAAAGGACCTTGGTCTTCTAGGTTTCCCTGATGGAAACAGACTTGACTGTGAGGCTGCATTTTGCTTTTCAAGGTTAACTATGTGGCTTATACAGTGATTTTTTTTTTTTGAGATAGTCTCACTATGTCATCCTCCATAGAGTGCTGTCCTGTCATAGCTCACAGCAACCTCAAACTCTTGGGCTCAAGCAATTCTCTTGCCTCAGCCTCCCGAGTAGCTGGGACTACAGGTGCTCACCACAACACCCAGCTATTTTTATTTGGGGGTTTTTGTTTTGTTTCGTTTGAGACAGAGTCTCAAGCTGTCACCCTGGGTTGAGTGCCGTGGTGTCACAGCAACCTCCAACTCTTGGGCTCAAGGGATCCTCCTGCCTCAGTTTTCCTTTTTTTTGAGACAGAGTTTTATTTTATTACCCTGGGTAGAGTGGTGTGACATCACAGCTCATAGCAACCTCCATTTCCTGGGCTTAGGCGATTCTCTTGCCTCAGCCTCCCGAGTAGCTGGGACTACAGGCACCTGCCACAACCCCCTGCTATTTTTTTGTTTTTCAGTTTGGCTGGGGCCTGGTTTGAACCCACCACCCTCAGTATATGGAGCCAGTGCCCTACCCACTAAGCCACAGGTGATGCCCTCAGTTTTCCTATTTTTAGTAGAGATGGGGGGAATCTCACTTTTGCTCAGGCTGGTCTCGAACTCCTGAGCTCAAGCAATCCACCCGTGTCGGCCTCCCAGAGTGTGAGGATTATAGGTGTGAGCTACCATCCTGGTCCACCCGGGTATTTTTAGAGATGAGTGTCAGGACCCGAGACGCCATGTCTCTGGCCTCGACCCAGGGCCTCGTTGGAGCCTGGACACTAGGTCTCCGGCCCAGCCCACTCAAATGTCTGGACGCAGGCCACTGCACCATCTTACTCTGGGTAGGTCTCCTTCAGGTCTCAGGTGCTGAAGCACCTTAGAAGGCAATATTAAGAGCGAGCATCTCAGCAGCAGTCTTAGTAGTGGAGCGCCAATCAGGGGTCCTCCAAGCAAGAAGCGGAGCCAAAGGACAAGCCCTGGCTAACTTCTCCCGAAGTAATCCGCTAGCTGCCTACGCCACAGGTGTGGAGACTGCAAACCAATGATATACATACTCTCACGCATCTCACTAATCAGAGCCAATGATGTTAAATCCCTTCCCCAATCCCTTATTGCCAAAATATTTCTCACAGGTAGCTCCTACTCTGGCTCAGGCTGATCTTGAACCTGTGAGCTCAGGCAATCCACCCACCTCGGCCTCTCAGGTGCTTATATGGTGCTTTCACAGACATTACATCATTTAAGTCTCACATTAACCCTTCTGTGTTAGTTATATTTTTCCTATTTTGCAAACAAGAGAAAGGAAGCCATGGAAAGAAATGAGTTATTTAAGCTCATGAAAATTAAGCATGGAATGGTAGGGCCAACATCAGATGAAGGCCATTACCTTTATAATCTAGTGTCTTTTCCACTGCTTTGCCGTCAGATCTGGGATGGGTGGTGGGGAAATGGACCGGCATCCTATATTCTCCTTTTTCAACCATTTTCCATCCTAATGTCTCTCAGCTTCCTTTCCCTCTGGCTGCTGTTGAAAGGGCACTAGGTTTGATGTCAAAAGAGACTGAAATTCTCTGCCAGAGGCCGCTGGTTGGTCTCAGATATGTGTGTCACTTATGCTCTCCGGGCCTGATTTCCCCTTGTTACTGGCAACTCTTTCAATGATAGCATGAAAAATGGCATCAGAGTATCTATTGGTTGATTTTTACATTTACATAGAGGTTTCACACTGCAGCTGGGGCTTCAACAGGTGAGAAAAGGCAAGCAAAAGTCCCTCGGTGTCCTTGAGGATTGGTTCCCCAGCACCCCCTCCACCTACCTCTCCATTCCCTCACTTGACTTTCCATCCCCCAGGATACCAAAATTGATGGATCCTCAAGTCTCTTATATAAAATGGCCTAGTATTTGCATATAACTTACATACATCCCCCTCTCCATATTTTAAATCATCTCTGGATTAGTTATAATGTCTAATACATGTGTAATGTAAAAGCTATGTAAATAGCTGTTACCCCATTATTTTTTATTTGTATTATTTTTATTGTTATGCTTTTTTAAAAACACTTTTCATTAGCAGTTGGTTAAATATACAGATAAAAAACCTAAGATACTTCTGAAAAGATATGAGAAAATAGACCTACAAGAGTTCAGATAAATATTTAGGGTGTGGATTTGAGATAGGCTGAGCTCCTCTTTCTATTTAGGACCCCTTCCTTGTCCTTCCTTGATCTCTAATAGAGTGCTTAGAAGTGACTCCTAAAAGCTAAACTATTTTGGCTTTTCAGTTTCGTTTTGGTGAAAGGAATACACATTATTGTATTCCTCAATACACATTATTGGTATTTGGTGTGGAATACACATTATTGTAAGAACCACAGGATCAATAAATTTAAGAATCTCTTGTGTACTTCTAGCCCTATTTATTCTTAAATGTCTGAATTCTGATCCCACTGTTCTGCTAAACAAATAATTTGCTGTCCTGTTAGAATGGGAAAGTCAAAAGTATGTGAAAGTTCAAACATGGTCAGGGATTTTTTTTTTTAATGGATCAATGTGGTAGGTTTGGTGGCTTTGTTTTTACTGCGTTCTAGAAGCCAGGAAATCTTTATCTATATCATTCACTCAATTAATGCCTTTCATGGTTTTTAGGGGCAAGTTGGCCTCTTCTCCTCAATTTTCTCTTCCAGGAAATTGAGAAATACTGACTCATCTGTGCCCCTATCTTAAAGCAAGCCAATTTGTCAATAGTTATCAAGTCCAGCATGCTCATAAGCAGGCCTCATCTGGAACACTAGAATCCTAGTCCAGAGTATAGAAAATTTGCTTCCAGAGTAAATGTGGTAAAACTATATAAACACAAAGATGGACAAAGGAGGTGGTGTAGAGTAGGATAAGAAAGGAAAAGAATAGAAATGATGTTCTACAACAAAGGGATGGAAAGAAATGAGAGTTGAAATACTAGAGTGCTTGTGAACTTGACAGAAAATATAGTGATTTCTGTAGGCAATTTAGTGATTTCCAACTAGCATTTCTAAAAATATGATATGCTATAGAATAAAAATACAGAATGCATACCAAGGAAACACAAAACATTGTTTTGGAAACATTTTTCAATATAATGGATTTATAAATGTAACTATTATATACACACACAACTCACACACGATTTATTTTGTAAACTATTCCGCACTGTAAGTATTGGTCCAAAGTTTGAAAGCCCCTAGAACACAAGACCCAGAAAGAGACTGACAAGGTAAGTTCAAGGTCAAGTGAGAGTCCCTTTTCTTTGTCTCCGCATCCTCAGTAGTTAATGGAAGGAAAGGAAATGGCGTGGGGGGGAGGGGACACCACCATTAGGCCAAATGAAGAGCAAGAGCGCGTCAGGACAGGGAGGTGCCGAGAGCTTACAGCCTGAATGGTCCGATTGAGGAACTCGGGGAGGTTGATTTTGAGTGCTTTCCTTTAAATGCTAAACCGAAAGAACTTTCGCGTTCCCAGTCCCTGAAAAGCCTACAAAGATGAGGGATTCGCGTTGCTTCCTTAGGTGACCCTACACGGGGTCAGTCACTGTACTACGCAAAAGGAATTACTACTATTATCAGGGGCCAAGTGCGGGGGAGATGGGCGGGGCGTTGGAAGCGCGGGAAGGCCGGGTGGGGTCAGTTTACACAGAGACTCACGTAGTGTTCTGCAAAGCCCACCGCAGGGAACAAGCAGTTCTGCACTTTGGAACCTATCCGCGGGGGAGAGCCCGAGGGCACGGGTGAAAGTGAGCTCTTTCGGCTGGCCAGTGACGCTCCCTGCCAGTGAGTGACAACAGCCTCGGTCCTCAGCCCTGCAGCTGGATGGCTCCGCAGCCTGCACGCCAACCGCCCACGTGACCTACTGCGCGGGCCACCGCCTCCACCGCGCCCAGGCCCCGCCCCCGTGACGTTTCACCGCCCTCTGATTGTCCGAACGTTCAACCTCTTTCCGTGTTCGCTAATTGGCCGACCCGGCAGACAGCGCCCCCCCTCGGCCACGCCCCCGGAGCCGTGGTGGGCGGGGCCTGAGCTGAAAGGGGCGGGGTGAGAAGTCGGCGCGCGTGTAAAGGGGCCGCCTTAGCGCGGTCCGAGCGTTCAGCCGACGCTAGCCGCTTCGCTCTCTCGACTCGTCGCCTGCCCCTCCCCCGCCCGCCGCCGTCACCCGGGAAACCGGCCGCAATCGCCGGCCGACCTGAAGCTGGTTTCATGGCAGCCGCGAAGAAAGCAGTTTTGGGGCCGTTGGTGGGGGCAGTGGACCAGGGCACCAGCTCAACGCGCTTTTTGGTGAGCCCAGGGTGACACGTGAAGAGGCTCTGAGACGGGGCGGGAGCCCGGGAACTGAGGGGAGTGTGTGTATCGTCCCCATCTTGCGCCTCTCCCGGCTCCCGTCTCTCGGTCCCGGTACCTCAGCCCCGACCGCTGGGCGAGGGAGGGAGGCCATAGCGGGACCTGCCACGCTGGGGCTGCCCTACCCGGGCTTGGGGGACCTCGGCCTCTCACGACCCCCGCGGTCGAGTTGAATAGTCTCAGCCTTGGTGGTGGAATCGGGTCACTTTCTTATGGAGGGACTCCTCTTCTGAGGGGAGCTAGGATTCTCGGAGCATCCGCGCAGAGCGACCCTCCCGCAGCAGGGGACAGGTGGCCACAGTGACCGCTGCAGCGGTCTTCCTCAGGAGTATTTGGCCTGTGAAGCTCAGGACGTCCTTGGATGGAGGGAAAGCTGTGTCACGGCTGTGGTAGCCTAACACAGCGCGTCCTTTCCAGCAGTAGACGAATTAAGTATTAGCGTGATGATGCGTTGTCATCCTCTCCCACAGAAGGGAGGGTTGAACACTAAGGGAGGTGGCAGAACAAATTAGGAAACAGTCAGACTACATTGCTTTTGCCAGAATCTTTATTTAATTTCCAAGACTCGCAAATTTCAGTTCTGATTCTTTGCCGGTTACAAACAAACAAATGATTGTCCTCTACTCTTCACAGCATAACGTGAGAGAGAAATTCTGTTTCTCTTTATTTACCATGTATGACTGCACAGTTTTACCATAAAAGAGTGCTATTTAAGTGACTCTGCTGATAAATTTCTTTTGTGCAATTAGAAAACTTGCTCTTAAACTGATCTAGCATTGAATTCAATAAGATTTAAATGAATGTTTTCTGATAAAAGCCTATGCCTTCAATGAACATTTGACCAACCTGGAAAGTTGATGTTAATGTTTAGTGATTGTTTAGCTCCCTCTTCACTTCTTTATACCTCAAATCATTCTTTCCTGCGTTATTTAGTATGTGTGTATATATACACATATAGGCAAACGTGTATATCTATACATATATACAAACGCGTGTGTATGTCTATACATATATATTACATATATACAACATATATATTTTTTCAAAGTTCAGCTTAGTGGGCATTTGTGCTTTGATCCTGACAAAAGCTCCTCTAAAGTGAGAAGCATTTAGCCCAATTTTAGTTTGAATCTTATTTAATGACTTATCCTTGGCTGGGCACGGTCGCTCAAGCCTGTAATCCCAGCACCTGGGAGGCCGAGGTGGGTGGATCGCCTGAGTTGGAGACCCCACCCGTAAAATAGCCGGGCGCTGTGGCCGGTGCCTGTAGTCCCAGCTTCTTGGGAGGCTGAGGCAACAGAATCGTTTGAGCCCAGGAGTCTGAGGTTGCTGTGAGCTATGATTCCACAGCACTCTACCGAGGGTGACACAGTGAGACTCTGTCTCCCCCCTCCCAAAAAAATAATGACTTAGCCTTGTTTGAGTGACCAAGACATAGTTCTACTATTTCTTGCGTTTATCTTTTGATCACTCAGGGCAGGTTTCACTTTGTCTTATATTCATTAAACGTTTATAAAGTAATACTGAATCATAAGAAAGTCTTCTCAACTGGATTTCATTAATATATAAAATAACACAATCTCACTACCATCTTCCCAACTTAGGAAAGACTATTAAGACATGTGTGCCCCCTAATTATGGGTTGATTTTTAAAGCCATATTCAAGAATTGCCCACACAAGTACCTGCAGAGGCCAGGTAGTAGAAAGGGGGAAGCAAACTGGAGAGATACCTAGGCCAACCCCACAGCCAGTAGTTGCCCAGGAGGAATGCAAGCCCAGTGCTGCCAGATCTTCAGATTCTTTAAGTAAAGCTGGTAATGAAATCTTCTGACTTTTCAATGTTGGCAACTAGTTCCGAAAGCATTATGGAGGCCAAACTAAGCATAGCAATTGTTGTAAAGTTTATATAGTTTTTGCTATATATGAAAGTGAGTAAATATTTCATAACCTTGTAGACTTAATTTTTAGGAAACAGCCTGAATGTCTTTACCCTCTTTTTCACTCTTTATTATTTCTGTGCATGTAGCTCAGCAATCTTCTTTGCCTACTGCAGATTGTTCCTGGTCCCTCAGCTTCTGTTGCCCCAAAGACATCCTTCTGCAGTGATGAAGAAGAAATTGATCAACTTCATATTGTCACAATCAATTGTTCTGTGTGTGATGCAAACATGAGCCTTCAAAAATTGAGTCCTGTTTACTGGGCTTTATATGGCATGATCTCAATGAATAAGCTAAGGGGCAAATTCAGAAGATTCCCATCCTGGTTAGAAAATGATAGCTAAAAGTTGATCCATAAAGTTGCCCGTTCCTTGAGAAATAACTGTGAAAGAATGCTCTAGAGCAGATAAAAGACTCAGAGATCTTGTCTGAAGTAGAGAAAAACTTGGGAATGTTTAGCAAGGTGTTTTTTTCCTTTGGTTATAAGGAAAGAGGTTGCTAAACACTCCCTGAGAAATGCAGATAAAAGATTTGCTGAATAAGTGCTTTAATCACAAGATGATTCCCAGGAATTATTCTAGTCATATTGTTCCACGTTGTAATTATGACTCAAAAATAATTGCTTACCTTCTCAGGAAAGAATAAACTGGATAAGACTGTCAGAAGGAAGCTTATACAGTTAAAGATAATTTAAATAATTTCCTGACCATTATTCACTAAATTTGCATATATAACTCAACTTTCACAAGACCAGTAACCTCTCTAAACTTTCTTCCTTTTTCTCTGCTAGCAATGTTAGCTTTCTTCCCTAAGGCAATAAAGTTGGTTCATGCTATTTCATCTGAGGAAAATAGCTCTGCCATGTTTGCTTCTTGCAATTCTACTCTACCATGGGGCAGCACCGGTGGTTCAGTGGGTAGGGCGCTAGCCCCATATACCAAGGGTGGCAGGTTCCAACCCAGCCCCAGCCAGCTAAAACAGCAGTGGCAACTGCAACAAAAAATAGCTGGGCATTGTGGTGGGCACCTGTAGTCTCAGCTACTTGGGAGGCTGAGGCAAGAGAATCACTTAAGCCCAAGAGTTGGAGGTTGCTGTGAGCTGTGACATCATGGCACTTTACTGAGGGCGACACACTGAATCTGTCTCCAAAAAAAAAAAAAAAAAATTCTACTCTACCTCTAGTGGCTTAACTACCATCTCTTATAAGTTTTCCTCAAACCCTTAGCCAGAATTTCTCCTCCTACCTTTAGCACTTTTTTATAACTCTATTAATAACTTTTATCACCTTCTCCCTTGTATTATGATTGTATATCAGCTGAATTTGGGAGCAAAGACCTCCTTTAAGTCATTTGTCATGTTGACCAAGATGTTTTATGGAATACAAAGGTGAGGGATCACTTTATACATGTTTATTTAATAGATTTTTATTTGTCTTTAATAAGTCAACTGAATTTGTAGAGTCTCCCTCTGTTGCCTGGACTAGAGTGCCATGGCCATCAGCCTAGCTCACAGCAACCTCAAACTCCTAGGCCCAAGCAATCCTCCAGCTTCTTCAGTCTCCTGGATAGCTGGCACTACAGGTAAGTGTTACCATACCCAGCTAATATTTATTTCTATTTTTAGTAGAAATGGAGTCTTGCTTTGCTCAGGCTGGTCTTGAACTCCTGAGTTCAAGCAATCCTCCTGCCTCAGCCTCCTAGAGTGGTAGGATTGCAGGTATAAGCCACTACAATTGGCCCTCAACTGAATTTTGATTCCGGTTTTTTTTCTTTACTTGTCAAAAAAAAATCGTAAAACTTTCTGACTTGGTATGTTTAATTACTTCATTTCTGCTATTTTAGTAGTACCGCTGTGATTTTGGAAACTGTTCGTTTATTTGTCAGACTGTCAAAGAATTAATTTAGGACCCTGTGCATGTGCTTTGTACTAAAGGAAAATTCCCAATTTATCTGATAAGGAAAATGAATTAGCACGTGGTTACTCAGATTACAGAATAGAAACTTCTTGGAAAGAGAATTAGTGTAACAGGTTTTAAGGAGGGGCTGTTTCTTTATAAGACAAAAGTTTCAGCATGAACAGTCAACTTCCTTCTTTACTTTGGTAACTTAATTTTTTCCCCTTATGTTGAATGATTGTTTTTAAAAGAAAGGCTTGGAATGCATTGTGACATGAAATGTGTCAATTATTGTATTGAGGCATTGTCTCATTTAATCTTCCTAACAATCTTCGTAATGGCGATGTAGATGGTTATTAGTAAGCTCCTTTACACAGGTGATTAGGCTGTGGCTGAGGATTCAAATCCAAATCTGTTACCCTCTTAAGCTAGTCTCCTCCTAACTACACTGCCTGGGCTTCCTAGCTGCCTGAAGTACTGTGAAGGGGAGTTGAGAGAATGGGGTAAGGCCACCTCCCCAACTATCAATCAAATGTTAGTTCTGATTATGGTCATAAATGAATGAATCTTCACCAAGAAAAACATACATTGGTTTCACAGTCTATAAAAAATGTTGCCTTTGAATGAGTTCTACAGGTTATGATCCTCTTGTGACTCAGATTCATTGGGCAGGGCTTAGGTGTGTCACTGTAGATAATGGTTGCATAATCATTTTTTCCCAACAGCCAGTGTATATGAAGAATGACTAGAATTGTAGTTCCGTGCTTGTTTTGGCAGGAAACATTGCCTTGGCCCCAGAAGTCTCATCATACTTAGAGATCTTATAAGGCTTACGATGGATTTCCTCTTTCATATAGCTATTCAACACATATTAAGCACCCATTATAGGCCAGGGAAATTAATGAACAATAAATTTGTTAAAACTAATTTGGCTCGTAGCTGGAATGAGGCCGCTCTTGTGCTAACTGAGTTGTGATTCTATTGTTGTTTATTTTATTCCCCACCATACTTGCTTGTTTTCTTGCTCATCACATTACTCAAGTGGGGTGAACACATTCTCATTAGAGAGCTGCCACCCTCTCTTGTCCTCTTCTCTCACAAGACT